CAATTTCTTTAATTTGCTTTTCTAAAAAAATGTTGGCTTTTTATAAATTGAGTCAACGTTCTTGACTTTTATTTGTCCTCTTGCTACTTAGTTTCTTTCAACTGAATTGGAAGTCATGTATTTTTCCTTTTGTCTTTAGACTTTATTCTTCAGAAAATTTTACATGCTACAGTTATCTCTGCTTTCCTCCTGAACAATGCTATGATCTTACAATAGTTTTACTTAATCACACCTCTTTCATAGTCCCCATTTTTTCTACCTGTTAGTTCCAACTTATTCTTACCCCTTCTAAAATTATTATTATTATAAGTAATATCTATTTATATTTACCTCAACAATTTCCAGTTATTGTTTTATAATTGTGCCTTATATATTTCTCCACCCCTTGGGGTTCATTCTCTTTTCATTGAAGTATACCTTTTCTCGTTTTTTCCATGCAGGTCTCTAAGTGTTCTTAGGCAAAACTGTTTTGAATGGTGATTTAGACAGTATAGTATGCATATTTTTACATCGTCTGTTATTTTCCCCTCAACTTTTAAATGTTATTGGTCCATGATCTCTTTTTTTCTGTTTCTCAGTGGCAACCCCTTTGTTGGAAATCTGCTTTTCTAAGTATGAATTTATCCACATATAGATTAATTTTAATTTTCCTGCTTAGGACTCATTGAACTTCTTGTATCTCAGTATTCTTGTACTTTATCAATTCTAAAAATTTTAAGACTTTTTTGGGAGACATCTTCTTTATTATCTCTCCCATCTCAAAATTGAGTTATTTATACTGGAATTTTTTATTCTTTCCTCCGTGTCTCTTAACAACTCTCTCATATTTATCATGTGTTTATCTTCCCACTTTACATATTAAGTCAATTCTTCAGATTTATTTGTATCTAATTTATTGCTCTAATTCTACATTAATTTTTAAATTTAATTTACATTTTCTATAAGTTTGTATTGTTTTTCAACTCTGCTCACCCTTTTTTCTTTATGACTTCTAATCATACTTTTAAAAATTTTATCATTTTAAATGTATCAGTATTATGATCTTTTCCAGATTGTTTTAATATCCAAAATCTGGGGTCATGCTAACGCTCTTGTCTTGTCTTCTGGCTCACACTTAAGAAGATAATTTCCTCATTTCACTTGTAAGTTTTAATGGGTTTATTGTCAGTTTTTAAAAAGTATTAAAGTCACTGCCCCCTACCCCACCCCATGATGTTCTAGTTGCCCTCAGTGTGGAATTCTGTCCTGCCCAGCATTATTAATTTTCTTTCTACCAGTTACCTCAAGGTACTTATTGGTCCAGAATCAGATTTTTTTTCTATTATGTTTTCAGTTTTAAATTCCTGCTACACAGGATGTAAATTTGGGTACTACAGTTGCACGTGATATGAGCTTGGAGTTTTAATTTCTCATGATAGATGTGTTTTTGTTTTTGTTTTATACCCATATCCCTAAGCAAAGATAAATTTTCTTGTTCTTTTCTTGGACCAGTAGGAGGAGTCTGCTTATTGTCTCTCATACAAATGGGCTGATCCTTCCCAGGTGATGGTTAAATTGGGTCTCGATTTTCATCTACAACTCCTGGCTCCACATGGCACTATAACCTCAGCCAATGACCAACCAGTTCTCTATATGAGTCCTATCTCTCTCACAAACACCGTTTTGAATATGACCTTCTTCTTGCCTTTGGTTGGAAAGTTACATTTCAAATCCAGTTGAATTCACTTAGTTACACTGCTGAAACTATAAGAACCAGAGTGCTCTTTGAAAATATTAATGACAACACAACATTCTATTATTTAAAATTATTAAAGAGTTTCTCATTGCCCTTGGAATAATATATAATCTCTTTCTCATGGTCTATAGAAACTTTCTTAATCAGGTCATACCTATTTTTTCTAATATTATCTCCTATAATTTTTCCTCTGGCTTATTCATTATGTTCTAAGCACATTGACTTGATTTCTTGAACACTTCAAGTTCCCTTTCCTAAAACAGTTTTTCCACAGGATCCTAGGCTATGATGGTTCCTGATAACCACATCCTCTACCATATCAATGTGTTTATTTCTTTGACAGCATTTGACACAATCTGTAATAATCTCATTATTTATGATCCATGAAGAAAGCAATTTTATCTTGGTAATTATTCTATCTTCAGCATCTAGCACTGTGCTTGATATATAGTATGTAGTGAATAAATACATGTATGGTTCAATAATGAAGATGGAAGTAATGTTAAAATCTTCCAGTTCAGCTTCCTGATTTTACAAAATGTAAAAGGAGCTGGTAAAGTGGCTGAGAGAGTTTTAGGAATTTGTCCCAAGTCACAGATGTTTTTAATGAGATACCTAAAACAAGTACTCTGGTCTCCTGCCTCTGCCGATCCATGTTCTTTCTGGTGACCCCTCCACTGGTTGGTTATAGAAGAGCTATATTAGCAATTTGGGAAGACCATGGATACACTATAGAATAATCCATGGCCTCCCTCACACTTCAATAATGAATTTTGTGGAATATATGTATATACTAATATTTCTGGGCAAGAAGGCTATAGCTTTTATACATTTTTAAAAAGGCTCAAAGGATTAAAAAAACCCTTAAAAACGACTGGCCCACATATTGTTTACAAAGTATAAGTTGCTTGCATGTTTTTTTCTTGTCTTCATTATGAGTTCTTCCATTAATAAGAATTGAACAATCATTATGAGTGAAGTATCTGCTGTATTGCCAAAAGATCTAGTGTTATGCCTTGTATTAAAATGTGGCCATTTGTACATAAATGGTTTGATTCTAAAGCTATAGCCTCACTTGGCACATAATCTAGGGGTACTTACCAATTTTATTGATCCATATTGGCAGTATGAGAGCTAACCCATTGGCTATGGTTGCATGTACCTCAATGTTTTTTTAGGCATATTCTGGTACCCAGTTTAATAAAATAGTGAAGAATATAGAATTTTTCATCCTAATTTCTCTGCTCTGTTGGAAATAAGATCATTTTGTGGGATAAGGTTTCAATGTGGAGAACTGAGGCTGAGATGCTAAACAGATTGGTCAATACATATACAGAGGTGGTATATTTTTGAATATACACAGGGCTCCTCCATACTTTCTCAGAAATATTCTGTTTATGCTAAACCTGCTATGTATATAAAATGGCCCAGGGAGTGGAAAGAATGATAGCTTTGCAGAGATGTTGGTAGCATGTCTTCCCAGGCCATGCACCATTCTTCCCTCCTTCCCTGAACCTTCCCTCTTCCTTCTGTTCAGAGGCACCTGTTTCTCAGCCACAAACAGTGGGACAGAGTGGCCGAAGCTGAGCCCACTACATACTTCCTCTTAGAAATTAGGACTTGAGATTCAAAGACAGGCCCATTAAATCTTTTATGCACCTCTAACTCTACCTACAAATTTGGAATTGCAGGAATTTTACCGTTTATATGTAAAGAGAGAAAGATGAAGAGAGGCAAACTTTAAAAAATTATTTCCTTGGTCTCTGACAACTTTCTTTACATTTATGCTTTTTTCCACATAGATTAATCTGATTTCATTACAACCTAGGCTAAACTAATACAAAATTGTATTTCCTGTGGATGAATTTTTTTGTGTGTTTTTTAGTTTTATTTTGTGTGCTTGGAGTTAAAATGTGTATAAGCGCTGGAGTAAAATAAGCCAGGTTTACATGCTGGTTTGATCATTAGTTAAGTGCAATAATTTATAGACACATCTCTGCTAAATACTTGTTGTTTATATGAAATTCAAATTTAACTGGATATTCTTCATCTTGCAACTCTATTTGTGCCATAGTTTTTTCCTTTGTAAAATAGGGCAGTAATACCAAATCAGCAATGATGTTGTTAAAAATGACAAGGACACTACAAACATTATATAAAACAATTTGTGAGAAATATGGTTTTTCTTTTCATTTCCCTTCTCCTCTGTGGTGTCTACAACAAAAAAAGCCATTGCTTCTGAAGCTCATCATTATAAGATTGCCAGTTGGGAATAAATACTTCCTGGGTGTGCTGAGCTTTTGTCTCCCATGTTAACTAAGTAATATCTAGATGAAATGACTTAATTAAAGATGAGATTTATAGAGCAGTGGACTGGTTCCTTGTGGAATATGGGGAAAGGTTTTATACCTTTTCTGTTTTATGTCTTTATTCTTGAACTAGAGAATTTAGAAGGTTATTTATTTCAATACACTTGACCTCACCCAGGCACCCCATCCCAAGATACTTTTCATATTTATTCTTGTACTTGGCAAATATTTAGGTCTTAGTTTCACACAAATTTGTTTCCAGTTCAAACTGCATGTCCCCATCTGGTCTTTCTCGCTTTCTACAGAGAGAGATGACGGAAATAAAACCATGAGAAGAAAAGAGGAAATAAGATACTAGCTTACTGCTTGCCTGTTTGAGGAGGAAGAATGTGAGATTCTTATTTGGCAGCCCTTCATTTCTTGTCTCCTGTGTCCAAGTCTTTCTCATTTTATTTTGATCACTTACATTCTCTGACTGGAGGAACCCAGAACTGCTAGAGGACTCCTTGAACACAGCTCAAACTAACATGTTTTCTTCTCATGGGACACAGAGCAATGAACTTGCCTTACAAGGCATTTTTAATATCACATCTTTATTTATCACACCAAATCCAGTGGGATTGGAACAGCATTTTGCTTCTTCCCAAACAGTGTGGGCTTGCTGATCAACCACTCAGCAATGGGCATGAAAATGGCATGCTTCCATTTTTATTTTCCTTGTTCAAAACCACCATCTCTGGAGATGCCTTGTAAGTAGCAAGCTGGGAGCTTGTGGAGAATATCAGCAGGCCTAGTTTGAATATACAGTGGGCTCCTTCATGTTTTCATTTTCTTTCACGGTTTTACCTGGATGTGTCTGGGGAGATAGTTTACCAGTCTGAGTCAAAAACAGCTCGCTTAGAATCGCTAACAGGGATAATTTTGGGATCCAAAAAATGGATTGATGTATTCAATGGCTATGTTGTCATCGGGCCAAGTGGGTCAGCTGTGGGAGGATTATTTTTTTCTTCAGATGCCTCTGGGGTCCCTGATGCCTGTGGTGCTAAATTTATAAATTCAAAAGAACCTTGATAAGAATTATCCTTTTTGTTACACGGCATGTTGGAAGGGATGGCACAATACACAAGATCTGAGGGCAGCAGCTTAAACTCATTGGGTGGCCGGGTGATCACAAACCTGTAAGAAAAAGCAAAGATGAGTCTGAGCCTCTGCAGCCGGGACAGTGTGGCTACGGGCAGTGGCCGAAATAAGGCAGCCATGTTGCTGGGCCAAAAGAGGAGATGTATCTGCTTCACTTTGCTTTCTTGGTCATTTTGTGAATAGTCCCTGTCTCTGGCACAGTGCAGCAGGAGAGGTCCCAGCCCGGACACTGGGAAACTAGCATTTACTCTTGCCACTGCCACTGACCATCCTCATGTGTGGAATCTCTCTTCTCTGGGCCTTACTTTTCTCTTTATTTTAATGGGAGAGGGATGGGGCTGTGGTTTGGACTGATAGGTCTCTAGAGACCTTTCTGACTGCAGGCTTCTTTGATTTCAACATCTACTACACTGATGAATTCATTTGGCACAATACTGTGAGCATGTATCCAAGCTTTATCAAGAGTGGAGGATGACATGCACTCCAGATATTTCTGTCCTGGCCTAGGCCCGCCGTTAGGCTAATGCCACCACCTTTCACAGAGAATGTCGTTTGGTCAATGAGGAAAGGAAACAAAAATTAAAGTTGTATTTGAAACCTTGACTGGTAAGTAAATACTGACTGTTGATGAATCTTGAAAAAAACACGGAGTGTGGGCCTGCATGGAAAAAATGGAGAGAGGCAGGGTGCCTTACACTGTATCAGGCACACAGCAAAGACTCAGTAAATGTGAGTCACATTAATTAATGCACCCGTGTTCCTGTTGGAACACTGAGACAGGCTCACCATTCATGCTTTTGATCCTGCATCTCTCCATTGCTGCCCCAAACGACTGGTCGTCTCTCCTGTCCTAAATGCCAATCTCAATGCGAGTTGGCCTTCTTTTACTGATTAACCTTCCCACTTTTATCTTTCCCGTGGAGTCCCCTGTAACCACTATAATGGCCTATACAAGGCCTTCTATAATCACACACTCCCTTTAAAACAGAAAACTCATTTGCTTCCCTGAGGCCCGCTCAAGTATGGCTGCACATTCTCCCAATTACCATGTTCCATGAGTTTTGCAGAGGTGTCGGGGAGGAGTTCAGGTAGAGACAGACAGAGACAGAGAGACATCAGCATCATTCACTCCTCCCAACCACCTTTGCGCTTAGTGCTCTCCAGCCCTACCGCCCTCCCTCCTGACTCAGTGGTGTACTGTAGCTCTCCATGTTTATGTAGACCACTGGCACCTGGGACACCTTTTTTTTAAAGCTCTGTTGCCCCATCATCTTCTGTACCTACAGTGTTAAGGATGCTCACAGTTCAACATCCAGACACATTTCTTTGATGTCCACTACCCAGGGATCATTATCTCCAAAGTACACTTTCCTGATCATATACCAGATACCCTAGTTTCCTGACATGTATCACCTCTAAAATCTTATGCTTCAACATATCCCAGTCAGACCCCAGACTCCTATCATTCTTTCTCTCTCAGTCCCATACTCTTGATTACAGTGACTCGATTGTAATCAGGACTTGATTGTAATCAGTGACTTGATTACAGTCAACTTCATCAGGACCTCCAATCCTGTGTCCTTTCACGTTACAGTCTAGCATGGCTCCTACAGATCTGTGGTAAAGCTCTTCTCCATTCCTCTAGCCTAAACTCTTACTTCTTTCTCAACTCCCTGGAATACTTCCTTCATCTTTCCTCTCAGCAAGGACTATGCCTGTACTTCATTGGGAATCCTGGTGTTACATAAAGGTTCCCTCAAGCACACACCTCACTGATAGCTATATTTGCCTTGTCCTCCATTCTTTCCCTTCTTTTCTTCTATGAGCAGAGAGATTATCTTTCTTTCTATTCAAGACTACTCCATGTTGAGTAATCTGGCTTCTTCCTCCTTCCTCCAGGACCAGGTTCTACCAATCTAGTTACACTTTATTATTTTTAGCGTCTCCTCCTGTCCTGAATCCTGTTCCCTCTGACTGCGCAGACCTTTGATCCGACCTGCATTTACTGTACTTCTTCCCTCCTCCTGCTCCCTACCTGCATTTCCTGAATCTTCCCCACTGCTCTCAGACTGATGCTTCTTTAAACCTCAATTTGCATTAACTCCCATAATTTCTAAGTACAAAGCACAGTGGCTAGAAAATAGGCACTCAGTAAATATTTATCCAGGGAATCCAGCATAAAATAGGTAAATCTCTCCAAGGCGAACAGTGCCATTTAGCTTTAAAAAGTTACACAGACAGGGATGGGCTAAGTTAAAAAAGAGAAAAGAAAAAGAAAAAACTAGATTCGAAATCTGAGTCTGCATTTCAGTTTTCACTGGGGACAGAGACACCATTCTTACATGGCTTACACTGGATCCCAATTACCAGGGTTTATTCAGGTCATCAGATGCATTCTTCCTCATTCTTACATTATAATGTACTTCCTTGTGCCCTTCCTTGCGACTGCGGACCTGAGTTCTGAACCTCTCTTTCACAGACAATAAAGCAGCTTTGGCATTTATGCTCGGATGGGTGGCTAGCACTTTCCAAACTAGCGTACTCCCCTTTTGTGCTCCGGGTTGCGCTTCTCGATGTCTATCATGCGGTATAAGCCAAAGCAGAGGATTCCAAAATTATCCAACAAGCCACAGAAAACTTGCCCAAAGGTCTTTTTTGGCTGCGGAGAGAAGAGAAAAGCATATATCCGTTGGTACTTTAACCAGGAAATAACAAGCACTTACTGGCCTGCCATTTGCTTTTACTTGTGATAAAAGTTTGGAAGACCTTAAAATTATTTCCTATTATCTTTATAGTGGCAGCATCAAGTGGCTTGTAAGTGAGGCTTATGATTGGTTTTGAGCGTCTAGTCCCAGTGATTGTTTTTATCACTCTGGTCTTTTACGGGCTTCTATTGGGTGTGGCAGTTCGGGTCATTATGCTGTGTTTTGGGGGACTGCTGCTCTGGTGACCATTAAGAAGCAACAATGAACAGGTGGGAACATCCCACCTTCAGGGTATATAAATAGTTGGGATGCTAAGTGACCTCTGGAGACTGATCTTCTTAGCCCACTCTGCAGAAGATTATGGCCCCAAGCGCTCCTCTTGACATTGATACCTGGTTGTGGCCAACAGACGTTTTAAAAGCGAAAGGTTCAGGAATAGCAACTCATGGGTTCAGTTCTATGGGTGACTCCTCAGTGTAAAGAATGATGTGAGAGGACAAGACCTAACTGGTGAAAGAAAGGAGAAGTGTGCTGACAGTGGACAGTGCTGTCCACTGTCACTCTGATACCAGCAGGGAATTGCAGGTGCCTGTTGTCCTGGCATGTAATCACTAACAAGTTGACAATAGGTGAGGGACCCGGGGCTACAAAAGTACAATATCTGTTGAGACATGCCAGGCACAGAGGGTTGGAAGAGCCTGCTTCTTGTGAAGGGGGTTCTGCTGATGTGCTCTGAAGCAACCAGAGAAATTTCCTTCTAAAGGCTTGTCCCTACAATCACACTGGAGAGCTGAATGCAATGCCAAGGCAAACCAAACCAAAAGGCACCACACTGATAGAAAGATTACTCATTTCCAGGCTGGACTCTACTTTGATCTCCAGATGCCCAGATGCTTCACTGGAATCTTCCAAAATAGTTAACTTCTCCCTTGCTACAACCTACTGTTTCACTAGCTCATGAGTTAAGGAAACTCAAGTCTTTTCTACTGGCTAGCCCAGTCAGTCTCTTAGACCCAAACACAGAGTCCTTCTGCCTGATTTTAGCTGACCTAATCAGATTTGTGTAGTGGGTCGGGTAGAGGGGGAGTGTGAAGACCTGGGTCAGGTTGCTGTAGAGGGACCCTTGCTTCATCATTGGTAGACACTGTGGTTTCAGGCAAGTACTTGTTCCTCTGGGCCTCAGCATCCTGATCTGTTCAGGGGGGTTAATAATGACGCCTACCATGTAAATCCTCAGACAGATTAAGTGGGAAAAAAGCAGACAGGCACAGGGGAAATACTCAGTAAAAATTAGCTATTGCAATGATTAATACCCTTGTCAAAGCATAAGTTATTGGAATCCTCTGATGCTTCCTGCATGCTTGGATTTTTTTAATGTGGAAGACAGGGATAATAACAACTGCTTTATCTACCTCTCAGCATTGTTGAAACAAATATAACACATGTGAAAATGCACTGCGAATTGTAAAGCACTCTATGAATATGAGCTGTATTAATTTGCTGTTATTATTATTATTATTTCTGTGCTACAAGCCATCTAGGGACATGGAAAGCCTGGACCATTTTCAGAAACTCAGAGATGTAAGGAAGCAAAGCAGGAAACTCTATTGAGAGCAGGCTCACCTCAATGTCCAACAACATGGTCTGGTTTAAGGACAGAAGCCCCAGCTTACAGCGCTTCCGTCCGGACAAAAGTGTGCTGCAGCTGTCAGTCAGCCCATAGAACTTATCCTTATCCAAATGCTGCTCCATCTGAGAGCTGATCCCTCCTCTCACCAGCACCTGCAGCAACTCTAGGACGTGATAATTGTAGAAGGCCTGGAAAGCAAGGGCGGGCCATGTGTGAAGTTAGAAGAGCCAGCTCCTAAGTGGTGGATTTGCTGTAGTCTTGGAGATGTTGAGGGTGTCACTGAAATGGATCTGATGGTGCAAAGCAGTGTCTCTCATTATTATTATTAAAATCACTTAGTAGCTGGCAGTTTGGTTGGGGTGCTGAGTTAGCCAAAGTGCAAAGAAAATAACACTGACCCAGTTCCCGCTCCCTTGGGGGTCACACTATAACGAGGAAGAAAATGGGTAATTATAGTGACACAAAGTATGTCCCCCGTACCAAAAATAGACCAGAGGAGTATATCAGGCCACAGACATCCTAGTAATCATCAAGGTATTTCCAAATATAGGTATTCAATGAGACTGCGATAGATTTTTCCTTAGGGGACTACAGATGTTGTCATCCATACTGGAATCCTCTGGATGTGAAAGTCTTTATTTTCCTTTTGATGGTGACCTACTAGAGGACAGGTGTTGACTTAGGTCTTATTAATATCTAGGTCTCCCATAGCTCTTATTGTAAACCTTACAGATTGTAGCTATTGAATAAATGAATGAAATTTTGAAATCTTTGGCATCAAAGTAAAGGAAGACATATATGGGCAAACTCTTATTTTGAAAGTACTGTGCATCTGAATGACTGGCCCTAGCCATTTTCTGAAACTTCTTTTCCAAAGGATTCTCACCTAAGTCAGTGTAGACTAGGCATTGCCGTACATATAAATAGCAGTGTAAATATATTACCCACCAGGTTTTTTCCAAATCTATTGAATATGTAGTTTCAAATTTTCTACTCTCTGTTTTATCTGTTAGATTTTAACTCCAATAGAAATGGAGTTTGTTTAAATGTTATGTATATAAAAGTCAATAGTTTTGATTTTATTATAAATAAGAATGACTTCAACTGTTATTAGTCTAGAAATTTTGCCATTCATTTTCTCTACTCCCAAATTCAGGGACTTATCTCCTAAAGCCTGGGTTACAATATGGGCCTGTTTGCTGGCTTTCTTCTCACTTGAAATCTACTGCATAAAACGCTTCCAGAGGTTTTCTAGAAGCAAATCCGATCATGTTGTCCACCTCCTCGAACCTTCATGGTCAGGCCCCTGCCACGGAAACAAACCCAGCTCCTCCGAAGCGGACCCTGCAGCACATCGCAGTCTATCTGCAGTTGCTCACGCTCTGCCTTTACTCCCCACGCTCCTGCTCAGAACGGCTCCTTCATCTGTCCTCAGTTTGGCAACAGGTATGTGGCCTCCGTATCAGAATAAAGTTGTCCTTTCTTGGTGGTCCCATGGCCACTGACTATTATTCTATTTCAGTCTTCTGTATTTTATATTACAGCTTGTCTGAAACACACCTGAGTTTGAATTTAGGACTGGCATGTCCTACCTGAATACTTTTGGACAATTCACGTGCTCTTCCTTAGCAAGAGTTTCGCAATCGTTAAAGAGGACAGAATGAAACCCACCTTTGAGTGTTATTTGTGGGACTAAATGAGATATACAGCATACCTTACTTACTAAACTCTGTTCTCTTCAACACTGGTTCTCACGTACCTGGCTCATCTGGAGTGATATTCGTGAGCACAGATTTCTGGGATCCCAGCTCTAATGGATCAGCATTTATGGACAGGTGGAAATCGGAATTTAAAGGACACTCCCGGTGGTTCTGACACTGGTGGTTCTCAGACCACACTCTGAGCAGTACTTCCTTAAATCCCGTGCTCTTTTCAAGCACGGACTCAACCTCCACAATACTCACACCCTCAGGAGTGCCCTGAACAAAGCCCCGTCCGAGAGCTGTAGGCATACTGACTGCAACTGGCAGCTGATTTTTAACAAATAAATATTGTAGTAACATGTAGGGACTATTGGGACAAGGTGACCCGGGAAATAACACAATCTACATAAAATTGCATAGAAAAAAGTTTAAAAACTTTCTTCATATTTTCAGATTAAAGGATGACTTTCAATGCCCTCCCCAGACTAACATCCAGACTAAAGGTGTCCGTCCCCTGAGTGATGCTTGTCTCCTCCTCCCATTTCTCCTTTGTCCGGCTACGACCCAGATGCCTACTTATAGACTCAGCTCCCTGGACCCCTGGAGGGAATAGAGGATGTAAATCCAGGTTGAGCCACAACCCGTTTAAGAACAAGAGGCCGTAGTATAGAGAGATCAAACATAATGCTGTTAGAATAATTCTCTACTGAGTAAAGAAAAGGGGGTAAATTCCAGCGTTATCCTGGTGTCGGAAACACTGGGGAAACATGTGCTTTACATATTTAACTGAGACCGGCTTAGCTTTTGAATATATCATTTCTTCAGTTTCAACATCAAAAGGATTGCAATGCTGTACTGGGGGGAATAATGGGATTTGCAAGTCACCCTTACTCGGTAGGCCCATCTTGTATTTTTACCATTTGGGGTTCTCTGGTACTGACTTTACTGGTCTCTTTTTTTTTTTCATTCCTCTCTCCCACCCTCTCTCTCTTTTCTTATTTCTGAAGAAAATATGGAAGTTGAAAAGTCCTTGAAATATTTTATGACTTCTAAACTTGAATAGTGTTTGTAATAGAACCCTGTTGACTAGAATTTGGGCTCTTGGTGTTAGAAAATGCTGCAGCCCAAAGTATTTTAACTTTTAGCTACAATTAAGCTTGAGGTCTCTCATAACCTAGAATATTACTTAATAGCATAGTTACTAACATCGTAGCCACTTGCTGCTTTTTCTTCTGAGAATCTCAAAAGGCCTTAAGACCCAACATTCATTGAGAAATACTTCTAATTGAGAATGAACTTACATGGCGTGGCAACTGCAACTAACAGGCTAAATGACCTTGATAAAGTAGTGTCACTTCTGTGGGCCTCATTTTCTTATAGATATAAAGAGAAATGTTGCCTAATTTGTGCCCAGTTCTGAAGTTCTATTGTTGCAAACCCATACTGGAATTCTGCTTGTGGTTCTGAGTGTCTCTCCACATTTCATTTTCATAGCATGGAACTGACAGTGGATTAAAGGTGATTCTGAATTAGACCTCGTAGGCATGTTTCTCCACTGGGGCAGAAGTGTACATTAGCAGATCAGGGGGTAACTGAAGCCACAGTGTTGAACTGAATCAAGAGACTTGAAGGGAAACCACATTACTTAATGTTAAAAAGAAAAATCACAGGTATAGCAAGGGAAATGGGAAATACCTATTTGAAAATCTAAAGCAAAACTTCAGTGACAAGTTTACACCACATTATTCAGGATTTGTTCTGTCCCTGGGACTTATGTCTTCTGCATACTCATGAGAAGGAAGAGGGCCCTTGAATATTAGGTTGGAAATATAGTTCCCCAAATTGGAGTCAAGACTGATGATCTCGTCTTGTTTCAGAAACTGCTGAGGTATAAGCTGCCCTTTTCCTGAGGGAGTCTGCTCTGAATCCATTTGCCCTTCTGGGTAGTATGGGCATCAGAGAAACACACACTGATTCTAACTATAATCCCTGACTGTGCGGCCAAACATGGTTCTTGGTGCAGGAAGCTCAGGCAGCAGGTTGGAAGGGCCAAACCCAGAAGATGTTCTTTGGGGAGAGAATATTATGGGACAGAAGGGACACGCAAAGTGGGGCAGAGTGGTGGACTCACTCCCATGTAGGACTACCCATTGGAAATCGGAAACCTGTTTCAGAATTGAGGAGAGCAGCATTCTGATTCTTTTATTTTATGTCTTCCTGTTGGTCATGTGGTCTAACTTCTAAGGAGTGGTTTTCAAAGTCTTCTTAACAGCAGAAATCCTTCTGCAAACCAGATCTTCTGTAGGAGCCTCCTACAGGACCCAGATGGGAGCAGAGTTGTTGGGACTGGAGGGAAGGGGCGGGTGGGTGCGGTGCTGTGGGTGCGTCTGGGCCTCATCTTTCCTGCCTGTGCCCTCAGTATCTCCAGAGCACTTCGGGAGACAGGCTCCTCTAAGTAAAACTTCAGTGTCCGTATATTGGGAAAATGGTCATTATCACAGAAAGAGATTCCCGGAGTGGTGGCTATTACAAATCTGGGTCCGAAAACCAACTTGTCCTCTGTGAGTGCTGTGACCTTTGGCACGTTATTTACCTCTCCAAGCCTCAGAGTCTTCCTCTGTAGAATGAGGCTCGTGATTGTATTGCCCTGATTGGGTTGACTGGAGAATCAAGCAAGGTAATGCAGGTATCACTCTTAGCAAAGACCTTAGTTCAAAGTGAGTGCTTAAGATGTTACTGTTCCTATCACAAATAAGCACAAAGGGAGTGTCTATTTGTGATATGGCATATCTGATTATTAAGATTATCTCAACACCAAGACTTAGCAGAAGAAGGTAACTTGAGGTCTGAGGCGGGAAAAACGCAGGTATGATCTGGAGGCAGAAAACCGCAGCCATTAATGGTGTCTGCCATGGGCGTGTGCTAGGGGAAGCGATGGACCTCGGGCCCTAACTGCTCTCTTCACTCCTGGGGAGACCTGGAGCTCTGCTTTTCTCCCACATTTCCCCCCAAGGAGATGATCTGATATGTCTGGAGAATAAAGTGGGATATTGGAGAATAGATTCCGGAGCCACCACAGTGGCCCCAAATGTTTGTGGTGCAAGAGGATACTTTTCTCTTCCTCTCTGAGGCTCCTGAGCAGGTAAAGTCAAAAGGCCGACCGAGATCCAGTGGTCCTCAGGAGAGTGAGGAAGATGATAGACTCAGAGGCACAGGCCTGTCCTTCAGGCTTTTCCTTCGTGTGGCTGGATGACAGGAAGTCACCCTCAGGAGGCTGAGCACTACCAGGACCAGGGGGAGGGAAAATGACAATGGGCAGGGTTCCCTGAATCTTTCCAAAGCGCTAGTTCAGCTCATCATGGCCAGAGACTGGGGGCTGGAGCTCTATGTAGCATTAAGTGTGTTCATTTTGTGGTGCCGTATATCACTAAAGACTCAAGGGCTGAGGCAGAGGTCGCTAGGCAGAGGTTTAGAGGTTCAAGATCCCAGCTCACCCCTAAACATAAAGGATGTCCATCCTTATCCCATTATCAGTGACCACATGTCACCCCTAAACGAAGCACTTACCAGAAGTCCTTCAGGGCAACGTGGCTTTTGACCTCAAGTGACTATCCCATATATCAGCCACAGCACGTGGCTTTTTCCCTCCCCCACAGAATTCATCCTGGGGCCTCAGAAAACAACTGAGCTTTTACATGTTCACTTCATTTGCCAGCATTGTCCTCTCCCACCAAGGCACCTGTTGATATAATATTGAAGGCAGCCTCCAGGGGTGTCCTCCTAGGAGGTCACACTCATGTGCTGAGTAATGACAGGCCCGGGTGCTGACTCATTGCCAAGGCCGTGTTTCCTATGCTTACATTATATGTTCATTTGTTTCTATTTCTATTCCTTCAGCCCTTCTATGCCCATCCTGCTCTTCCCACCAGCTCCAAATAGAATCTGTGGCTGTGTTTGTACCTGTGTGGGCCAGTAGAGTTTCATTAAGGCTCAAGTTTAATTTAAGGCCCAAAGCTACCTGCCATCTAGGAATCTCTGAAGAGAACTGGGACTTAAAGCCATCAAAGATGTATCCTTGGGACAGATCCAGTTCATCAACAGTCACCTTCTGACTGACAGCCAGTCATTAATTACAGGCAAGGTAACCGATGCATCGATGACAGACACAGCCACCTTCCCATAAAAGTAACCTCTCTCAACGCCCCGCAGTGTATTTCTCCCTGGCTCAGTGAAAGGTGGATGCTGCTCAAGCCTCCAGGAAACTCAGTCTCCTGACTTGTTACACTGTCACTAACATAGGCTTCTCTCTCTGAAGCTGGATGGGATTTAGGAGAGCCCCCAGTTCTCCAAAGCTTGGGGAGGCTGAGCCCAGAGTGACGTAATTCCCTTTGTACCAAAGGGCACTGAATCTGTGAGGGGGACATGTGCATCTGCCATGCTCCCTGCAATGTGAAAGCTGCATTATAAGGCACCACACAATTAAGGAATGTTTCCTTTTCCACATGGAATTCCAGACATGTTCATCACATTGTACTCTTAGCCTTGTGCATTTCAGCATCTGTGTACAGACATTCAGCCATTGTGCTGTCCTTCCCTTGGAAAATTCAGGTAGGAGGGGTCTGTGAGACAATGGGTTACAAGGATTGCCTTTGGAGGACGTTACACAGACTCTCACAAATGGCTAGGCACACACCTTGGGAGTTTTAGTGAAATTCCCAGAACACACCGGGAGGGCTCCCACCTCACTGCCTTGCTCCCCCACGTGTTCCCCCCTCAGAGATCAGCATGGCCGGCACTCTCCTCTCCCTGAGACTTGACACACATGCGGCCTTCCCTGGCACGTGATTGGAATCTGCAACCCCTTCCTCAAACCCGACACTTCCTATCTGACATTGCCTTGGTCCTGGTACCCAGCTGACATACCCTACCTGTTCCTTACTCATTTTGTTTATGTCAGTCTCCTCCATTAGCACAAGTCCCACATGGGCAGACTTTGGTCTGTGTCCCCAGCACCTAGAACAAAGGCCTGCAAAGACTACCTATTAAATAGGTATTTGCACAGTGAATTAATTCTACTATGGGAATTTTGTAGTTGATGCTAAGAGGTGCTGAGAGCTGACGAGCAACAATGCAGTAAAAAATCCACCCCAAGGGAGGGGCAGTGTGGAGGGACACCTGACTTGGCTCTGGACAAAACTCACACCACCAAAGGCCAAAGCTTTGTGCTGGAACTCCATGTCCCTTTATGGCTGGTTTCTGTGGAAGCTTTTGGGGATGTTTTAGAGGGAAGAGAAAGCAGTATCGCCTGAGCTCTGACACCAAAGGGCCTGATGCACTTGAAGTGAAAAGCAGACATGCAGCGCTCATTCTCCCTGGTATCAAGTGCACCAGCTCTTAAGTTCTTCATCTTGAAAATGTAAAGAGTTTGCTCTCCTTGCCACATACTTGTAAGAAAAGATGAAATACTGTATGTGAACAAGTTTTTTTGAAAAACCAAAGAGAATTTAGAATTATGAGACATTATCATCATCTACCCATGCCCCAAGCCATCCACACTCTCCTCTCTGAGGGGCTTGGTCTTGGGGGCTCCTCAGCTTGGAGGCACTTACTGTGGCCAGGAGGGAATCCAAGAAGCTGCCAGAAAAGACAGAGCCTGTGGAAAAGGAAGTGCTGAGATGCAGGCTTGTTCCTGGGAGGCGCCCTTCCATCCTACCAATCTGTTCAATGAAGTGGATGTTGGAAGGATTTTCTGCAAGACAAAAGAGGCAAACAGGAAAAGGCAGGCAGGCAGGCTTAAGAATATCGCATCTTCCTTAAGAATAGATGCAGACCAAGGGGTGACCACTAGATCCAAGGGTTGGAGGCTTCCTTTGGGGTCAGTGTGGGACTTGCCCCTACTACAGTGCATTTTTTTTCTTTCCAAGTTTCTTGTTCATTTCTTAAGGACATGAATCCCTTTTGGGCACCTTCATTGTCAAGGGGATATCCTCACACCTCAGACTCAGTTTCTCCATGCAAGTGTCCTGATTGTCACCCTTATATAATTTATCTTTCAAACCAGGACCTTTCAGAAGTAAAAGGGGGCCGTCTCAATAACTGCACCGAGACAACTGGCACATATAGGAAGGTGTGATCACCCCCACTGTAGTCTTTTTCATAACACTGGGCCACAGATGGCTTGGTACTTCTTATAGTCTGGTCCTGAGTGAGTTAAAACAGTACCCATCAAAATTTAATGCATGTATGAATCACCTGTTGCAATAAGATCTTTTTACAGTAAGATTCTGATTCACTGGGTCTAGGGTGGGGCCTGAGATTCTACCTGTCTGATAAGCTTCTAAATGCTGCTGCTGCTGGTTCATGAATTATACTTTGAGTAGCGAGGACTCAAAAATCATCCTAATTAAGGCCATATTAGCCATATTACCCATTCACATATCTATACTGACCCAGGGCTGCAACGCGGGCCCCAGTAAGCAGCCTCTGAAGTGAATGGAACTGGTCCTTGTTGGGCGTGAGAGCCAAGGCACTAACTGTCTTTGTTCTAAGACTATTACTTTAAAAATGTTTGCACAGAGACAGTGTCTCCCACCAGAACAAAGGGAAGGCATGCTTACTGCCCACTATGAAAGATCCTAGTTTTTCTCTTATAAAGCAATCCACGGTGGGTCCAGGTATCACTTGACCCTGTTCATGTCCGTGGTGGGAGCAAGGGCTTGGGAAACAGGCACAAAGTGATGATGCTCTGGCTACTGCTATCGCTGTGAGTAATAAACTCTTCTTTGTCTCTGAGCCAGAGGTTTCCTGTCTTCTGTCAGTCTCCATGAAACCGTGACAGGCTAGTTTGCAAGTAGCTTAAATTCTTAGACCTTCACAGCTTTTGTCAGTCATATACAGATCAAAACAAGTCTCTTGGGCATACAACTCAAAATACATTGCTGACTAAGACTGGATTTTCTCCTCATTCTTTAAATGATTCCTTAGTAAGGTTGGGTGAAGTGATGTACTGCTACCATCAGTGAAACATTTTCTCCCTAGAACTATATATTTTTACAAAAGAGGAGCAAGGTCTGAGTAATACCAACCCACATTTCCTTCGCACACACAGTTTCCTCTTCTTGCATTGCTGTGCCGTCCCAACCCAGGGGCCTCAGCTTTCCCAGGCATTTTCCTGCAGGCCACTGTACGTTCTGTACCCAAGTGCTGGCAGTCAGATCTGCAGCTCCCATGTCACTGTGACCCTTTCCAGTCAGCCAAAGAACAAAAAACAGTGAGCTGGCAGGTGATTTGTCAGGCTAATCTGACAAGGGCCACCTGGTGCCAGGAAGTCTTCAGTTGCACAAAGCTGGAAGTCCCTCGAGAGTGACCAGCTGTACTTCTGGGCCAGCGAGAACCTGACTGTTTTCTTCCCAGCCACTCTCACTCACATTCCAGCCTTCTAATCAGTGTCCTTAGTGTAGCTACACCTCAGGGCTAGAGCTAGTTCAAAAGACTGAAAAAATAAAATTAAATTATAAATAAAAACTGCAGCTGATAGCTTAAAGGGAGGTACAAATAGGCTGATTGCTACCAGTCAGGATGGAGAGAGCCGAGAACCTCAAAGCTGAGTCTGCAGAGCTGCTGCTCCAGACCCCCTATGAATGGACTATTTCCTGTGACGGTGGGTCACTGTCACTCCCAGATCATGCAGTAGTGGTGTCAGCTGTTGGTTCCTCTCTAGGTCCCCCTTCTTCCTTTGTGGGGCAAAGAGGACTATTCATCTTGTTTGGTATAAGTCTCTCCCAGCTCAGATGCTCAAAGTCATAAAATGCCCATTGAAACTATTGCTACACTATAGACTCCAGTCAAATTGCGTACCCTGGACCAGCTTTACACATCATCTTTGAGGTGGTCTAATTTGCGTTAAAGGTACCATCCCCCTCTTTGATGCCTTCCCCTTTCTGCATCGGTTATCACTGGTGTTAAATCCCCTGGTGCCTCACAATCACCTCCACCTCCCGAAGCACACAGGCACCTTCCCTGCCCTGCTTTCTGCTCCCAGAGCTCTTCACATCCAGGAACATTGCATAATGTGCATTTTCCACAGGGTGTTGATGAAAGGTAACAGCTTATTTGGATATTTCTGCATCTAGTATTTGCATTTTAGAAGACCACCACTCAGGACTGGAATTAAGATGACTGACACAAGGGACACCTGGACACAAAACTGAAGAACCCTGAGAGTAGGCGCCTCCTTCAAGTCTGTAACTTCCTTGGTGCCTCACTTGCCTCATCCTGGTGCCGCCCTGGTATCACGATAAGAAAGGAAGGTGCCTGACCTAAAGTCCCAGGACGGGTGGATAAGTTGGTATAGGCAGTTCTCTTTTGGCAGTCTTCAAGTTCATGTCCCCTCCCACGGGAGAGTCCCTCTGAATAAGACTGAGCCAGCTGCTGGCCTCTCTGTGCTGGTAACTGGAAGAGCAGAGAAGGCAGATGGTATCCCTGCACCTGACGCCCATACGCAACACGCTCGCCAGATGATGTGGCCAATCGGGGAAAAGCCCAGTGTCACATCCCAGCGAGCACTAGTGCTCTCGGGTTCCGTTCTGTTTCTCCAGGCTTTGGATGGGCAGACTCTGAAAACAAACCTGAGACATCGGTTATGGATCATACAGATTTCTCCCCTGAGCTTTGTCCTTGAAACAGAACTTACTCAGTTCAGTGAGGATGGGGACTCTTTGGTGTTTTGATCTCCCAGGTCCCTCGAAACTCTGCGACATCAGCTCTGTAGACAGAGAACGACAAAGAACAAAAGAGATTGATAAATGCAAACAAAGTGGCTGGCAAACACGATAAGGATGTAGAAGTACACCCTGTAACTTGGTGCTTTGTCTTTGTAAAGTTCCTCTCATGGTCTCATCTTAAACCCTTTTCTGTGTGCAGAGAAACCAATACATGAGCGTCCTCAGCATCCCATTTTGAGACAGTTTATGTGTGTAAGTGCGTATGTGTGCACACATGGGTGCATGCGGTTTTTTCCCTAAATGGCACTTCAAATGAATCACAATAAAAGGTAAAGCTGTCCCAGTACTTGCTTATTGACATCACACATAAAATGATTGCTCTCCATGGTGGGGTGGTGCTGGGTCATGGCTCAGGCAGGCAGTGCCTCTAACCACGTGCATTGGCTTGTAGGACTTTTGGGAAACCTGAATAAATAGGAGGCACGGTTCCATTCCATTCATGCGTTTGGAAACATTGCAACTGGTTTCTGGCTGATGGTGCTACCTGCCTCTTTGGTTTCTTATCTGGGTCGAGATACCGCTCACACCTTTCTTCTTCAGCAGAACTGGCTGCCTCCCACCTCTGGTTGGCCTGCTCCGGCCCAGAATGCCTTGTGAGTTCCTTAAAGACCAAGATGTATTGTCATCCAGCACCTTTGCCCTCTGTGTTCAGTTTACAGACAGATTTCCCTCCGTGGGAGGTGAGGCCGTTTACGTCCATGGGCCTTGACTCCAAAAGACAGCCCGTGCACGGCACCGGCCAGAAACTGCCTTAGCAGGTAGTGAACTATGGAGTTTCAAAATCAAGCATGACACCAGAGTTTGGGTTTCCAAGTTAAACTAAAAAAGTATAAAGAAAGAAAAGGGAAGTTGGAGTCCAGTAAAAAAACAAACAAACACCCCCCACACCCAGTTATCTCATCAGAAGTTGTGCTTTAAAAGGGCTGGTTACCTTTTGTAACTCTTCTGAGAATACTATGTAACAGGGCAAAAATTCTGTGAAAGTTAGAATTCTGCTTTTAATTAAAATGCCATGCTGCCTTGGAAAGAAGGTGAAGTATTTGGAGAGCCTTCTGTTTACTGAGCCAGGTAAGTTGCGGGGTGGGAGAGTGAGGTGCAAAATGAACGGAGTGAGCAGGCAGGTAAGACAGCCGGACAGACAGACGAAAGGAGGGCTGTGGGAGCTCTGGCCAGGGAGACGGGGACAGGAGAACAGAATAAATCCAGAGGGAGGTTATCATCGGACAGAGTACCGTATGCTGCAATATTTACCGCCTCTTCCACCTCACCGAGAAATACTCAGTAAAGCAGCTAGTTCTTTCCATGCCGAGAAGAGGTGAATATATTTCTGATAGTCACTGAAATGCTGAGTCATGCTTCAGGGAGGATTTGGGGCAAAAACTGAAAATGCACCGGAGGAGCCCAGCACGTGCGGGCACCCTTTCTCTTCACAAAAATCGATCCACCCATGTGTAGAATGCAAAACAGAAAGTCCAAAAACAACAACAAAAAGAAACAATGAACAAACAAAACAAAAACAAACTCACGGATACAGACAACAGATGGGTGGTCGCCACAGAGGAAGACGGGTGGGGGAGGGCGAAATGGGTTCAGGGAGTGGAATCCGTGGTGAGAAATAGAATCTGATTTTGGTGTTGAGTGTGCCATAATGCATACAGACATTGAAGTATGTGGCACTCCTGAAACATACGTTATGAGCCAGTTACCTCAATAAAAGAAAAGAAAGGAAGGTGATCATCACCAGCTAGAGACACCCTAATTCATTGGCGAACCATGGTCATGGCGAACCATGGTCATGACGAACCCGCATACTTTAAACTGTGGGGTTTCCATAATGCAGGGCAGCCTGGGGGAACTGAGATTCTGCTTTATTCTCAGAACGGTGCAAGATGCTTCATCTGTTGCATGTCCCCTTCCTTCCTTCTTTCCCTTCTTCCTTCTACAACTTTTGAGAGAGTATCTGCTCCACACTAGGACTGTGGAAGTCTCTGCTCCAACTACATGCCACGTGTTGCAAGTACAAAATTACAAAATATTTTCAGACAGCAATGAGTTCTGTGATTGAGTCAGGGAGATGCCGTTAGTTAGGGTCTGAAAAGAGGCCTCTGTGACTTGCAACGGGGTCCTGAGTGGTGAGAAAAAGCCATTCTGGTAAAGAAACGGGGTGTGGGACCCGAGGCAGGAAAGAGCCAGTATAAACAGGATGAGGTGGGAGAAAATTCAGACTCCCAGCTGGAACTGACACGATCTGATAAACGTTTGTAAAAGACTCCTCTGGCTCCTGTGAGCAGCTGAAGCTGCAGGGAGATGAGAATTACATCAGGGTCACAAAGAATCTGTGAATCAATATAATCGGGTCACCTTTGAAGTAACCGATTCAGTTTAGATACCTAGCCCAAGATTAAATGGCTTGTAGATGATGGATGGGTTTTCAACCCCGCCCCCCCCATCAGCACCAACTTCAAAGCCCATGCCCTTTTTAGGGCCACTTTGTAGCCCTATTAAAATACACAAGGCTTGGCTGGTATTTTAGTGAAATATTTAGTTCAGATCCCCACAAAGAGGCAATCCTCCTTTGACCTCCACTTTCTGATTGCAGTTCCCTCTAGAAAAGGCTTGGATTATCCTGACTTTCGAAGTTCAATGTTCTTATTGGATACACACATGGCCACACTGGCTGAAGAGACTGTTTAAGTATCTGCTTCTGACCTTGGCTGAAGGACAGTAACTGCATTTCTGCCTTAACTCCATCCATTCGTGGGGAGCAATGGTTCATTTGATCATAGCCTGGGTACATTTTGCGAATGTCAATATTTTTGGTAGCTAATAGTACACAGTATTATACCTGAAATCTTCCAGGCTGGCAGGGTGCTATTACAAAAGAGTGCTTAATTGTAGATTACAACTGTACATTTAAATTTCAGTAGCATATTAAATTGTCAGACTTAATTACCGTTATATGTTTAGATTATGCCGTAGATCATTTAGTTCAGTCCCTGGGTTTGCCAACCTCTTCTCCTTGTGACGTGACAGGCAGCGATTAGAGCATCACTGAAAACCCCAAAGTTTTCCATGGAGACGTCCAGGGGGCTGGCTTTCTTGGGGTCCGTTGGCGATTCCTCCCTGTGCTGTCCCCACGTTCCCACCATCCCTTGGGGAATCACAGTGTGGAATAGCCTGGTGGTACCACGTGGGCTTCATGTGTAAGTGTATCATGGCTGTGAAGATGTAGAAAAGCCCACTGATCCCCCAAAAGCCTCATCACATAAGATTTCTGATCTCAGTACTATTGACATTTTGAGCCAAAAAGGCTTTTTTTTAAATCATGTGGGGCTGTCTTGTGCATTGTAGGATGCTTAGCCATATCTCTGACCTTAACCCACTAGGTGTCAGTAGCATTCCCCCAAGCTGTGACAACCAAAACATTCTCTAGACACTGTCAGGTGACTGCTGGGGGCAAAACTGCCCCTCGTAGAGAGCCACTGTCCTAGAGAAAGGGAAAGGAAACTGCCTGTGAGCTCATCTTACGCTGGTACTCAGCATGAGAGACATTTTCTACCTCCGAGGCAGAATTTCACAGTCCTTTACACTGTTAACTCTTATAGATGGGCTTTCCCATTTCCATGTGGTGCGAGAGGGTATTACCATGAAATGGGATGAGTGGTTAAGAGAACCAAACAGGCTTCTCTGCAGATTGGGATTTCTATATCTAAACTTCAGGTAGAGTCCTATAATGCTAGAGTAATTGGTGAGGTTTCTGAGTAGTGGTCCTTTGCTATTCACATGTGCTCAGAAGGTGACTTTGCTGATGCTATGGTGCCAGATGAGCAGACTGGATAACTTTTGTGAGGTTGCTCAGCAGAGCCCATCTGGGCTTACATTTCCCCACCACCCAGGTGGCCATAGCATCCATAAGAAGATGGTGCAGGGCCTACACAATAATTTTCCTCTAAACTTCCCCTTTTATCTTTGGGGAAGAACCTATACATGCTTCATGATGGTCCAAATACAGAGAAGGGCAAAATTAGGTTTACATGTGTTATGCAAATGAATAATATAATAATTGGTAAATAATAATACAAGAATAAACCACTGTGTGCACTCACAACTGTAAACCTACTTATACCCACCCATGTATTTGACATTCCTTTATTTTCTCTTCCTCCCTTCCACTCTCTTCCTTCTTTCTCCTCTACCTCCTTCTACCAATCCACTCAGTTCCTCTGTTAAGGGCAGCCTTCTAGCTTGTAACCGAGCACATGGGACATCATATATAGAATCAGTGTTTTTGTTGAGTGAGTAAGTGGAAGGATGAAACTCACTACATATAAAAGAAACAAGAATTGAAATCATAGGTTTATATCTTTTTAGTTTATACAGGATATAAGATTAAAAACTAATTAGAGGAAGGACAAATCACCCAGATGATTAAGTAGGTGGCTTATGATGTTGTCAGTGTATCCAGACTTTTATGGAGTGGGCATTTTCATTTGCATATTGATGATACTGCCTTCAAAGTAAATACTTCTTCTCTGCCCAGTTATGGATGTTGCAAGCATGGTGCACACAGACACCCACACATACATGTACTCACACACATACCACACCCTCACCCTCTCTCTAGTCCCCACAAAATACATACGCACCACCTACAAATCCTGGGTGAATCTAAGTGACCCTAATGGCTGACCTAAGGATTTAATGTGCAGAACACAACATTCTTATGAATCTTCAGATATGCTTAGCAGAGGTATGGCTCACGCTTCTTTAGTACAGATTTTCAGTGTACTTTGCAATACAGGACATGCTTTGCTTTTAGTTCTGCTTTGCAAAACACCCTGAAACCCTGGATACTGAGTGGTACCCAAACGGTTGCTTAGTGAGGGTGTGTCACATAGTTGGCTTAGTTCACATACTGAAGATTAGACTAAATTACTTGTTTATCCCTTTGTCCCAAGAACATTATATTTTTTCATCTAGTAGCAGTGCTTAGGGGTCAGAGAGAGTTCCTTTGGTTTCCCAGTTTGACTCATGAACATTTTTATCCACATCCATAATCATGAAAGCCTTGCAAAGCCTTCAGCGTCTGACCTCTCCAAGCTCCATGTAAAGTAGAATAGCTGTAGTCAGCAGCTATGTGGCCAGAGGACTGAGTACCTGATCTTGACCCAGAGAATCAACATCCCCAAAGGCAATGCTGGATCCAGGGAACTCCAATCATGATTTACTGGAATGGAAAATCTGCTTCAGATACAGAAAATTCTTCAGTAAGAGTGCTTTCATATTAGGTTCAGTGGCCAGTAGTCAATTTTTAGAAATAGACTAATATATAAGCCTTTTCCTATTTAGGGAGTGGAGAGGAGAAACCACAGTTTTCTAGCTGGGATTTATGTCAAGCACATATTGGGCACAGGAGATGTGTAAAAACTACTCATGAGGCCAGCTCACTGGCCCGTTTGCTTCAGTTCAGTAAATGTGGTAAGCATCCAATGAGTGATCCATAACTGTGCTAGGCACTGAGAGGAGGGAAAGTCACGATCCCCATCCTGGAGATCTCTCCACTTCTCGCTACCTCTTTCCAATCTGAAGTTGAACTGTGACATTTTTAGTCTATGGAAGTTGGAAGAGACTTTAGAGGTAATATTGTAAAATTCATATATTGAAAGTATCTTGAAGAATGAAAGAGCATTATACTTCATTCTCTCAACCATGAGACTAAGAATAATAACTTGAACATTTACAAGATCTAATGAGAATTTCATTGATAATAATACCTGCTATTAATTATAATAATATTCCAAGTGCTGTCTTCACTGATATTTGATTAGTGACAACATTAGCGCTTCCAATTCTAGTGGGACAAAGTGTTACATGCATTCTGTTTAGAAGATAAACATCGTTTTTCAGTTGACTTTCTAGGAGTCCCGAGGACTAAGCTGTCCGCTACTCCTCCCCGTGATGCAGGTACTTCAGAGGGAAGTTAATTCTCTTTCCTTGGTGCATTCTCCCTCGGCTCTTCCTGTTGTTCTTACCTGGCTCCGAGGGTGTTGGGGCACAGCAGCTTATCCGCAGTGATCCTACGTTGAGGGTGGCCATGATGGTCTCTGTGTCTACCAGAGTCTGGCTGCCTGATGATGTGGATGGGGACGATAAGACCGCACACATGGCACATTCCTCTATGTTGACCGCATGGAGGTCTCCAACAAAGAGTGCAGACCCCTAATGAGAGAAAGCCGGGTAGAGGAGGGACTTCTCGCATGAACAGATTTTATGCCATGGCCCCTGGTGGTGAATCTTTATGGGTGATAACTGTTTTTGAGCCAAAGCCTCTCCCAGCCTCCACTGACTTGGTTCTAAGATTTTGTTATTTGATCTCTGCCACATTTACCCTTGTCAATCAGTCATTAATACTTTAGTGTGGCTACATTTCACAGACCCATTCCTGAGAAGAAATTTGGATGAGACAAAGGAGGTTAGAGAGTGGGAAGCCTAGGCCCATTTAAAAAACTAAGTGGGAGGAGAGAAATGAGGGAGGGAAACAGTGGTGAGGGAAAAAAAAATCAGAGAAAGGAGAAGTTATGGATCTAAAGGCAAATTTTGTATCCTCACAGTTTCACTTACAGTCAATCCCTCTTGTACTCTCCAGATGAACTGGCAAAGTGGTGGTTGATTTTTTCCTTTGGTAGAAAAACAGGGATAGATCTGGCCCTGCCTTCAGGTATCTTAGATTCGAATACTAGTAATTTCTCTTTTTAATTATATTGGATTGATTATGCTAATAAAGTTGTCCTGATTTCTCCCCCTTTGTCCCCCTCCACCTAGATCACACCACTTCTTCAAACAATCTCCCCATCTTTGTTCCTGTCTGTGAGTCATGCGTATAAGTTCTTTGGCTACTCCATTTCCTATACTGTACTTTACATCCCCATGGCTATTCTGTAACTACCTATTTGTACTTCTTCTTCTTCTTTTTTAAAGATTTTATCTATTTATTTTTAGAGAGAGGGGAAGGGAAGAAAAAAGAGGGAGCAAAACATCAGTGTGTGGTTGCCTCTTGTGTGCCCCCTACTGGGGACCTGGTGTACAACCTGCGCATGTGCCCTGACTGGGAATCAAAGCAGAAACCCTTTGGTTTGCAGGCCCATGCTCAATCCACTGAGTCACACCAGCGAGGGCCTAAAATTTCTTTGGAGAAATCAGGTGATAGCCTTATGGGAACTATCCTGTAGGTAATTAACTTCTTTTCTCTTGTTGCTTTTAACATTCTCTCTTCATTTTTAACCTCTGGCATGTTAATTATGAGGTGTCTTGGAGTGGACCTCTTTTTATCCATCATAATTGGGACTCTCTGTGCTTCCTGGATTTGCTTGTCTATTTCCTTCACCAAATCTGGAAAGTCTTCTTTCATTACTTTCTCAAACAGATTCCCAATTTCTTGCTCTTCTTTTTCTCCTTCTGACACCACTGTGATGCAAATGTTGGACCTTTTGAAGGTGTCCCAGAAGCTGCTTACACTATTTCCAATTTTTAGATTCTTTTTTCTTCTTGTTGTTTTGTGTGGTTGTTTTTTGCTTCCTTATGTTTTAAATCCTTGATTTGATTCTCATATCATCCATTCTATTGTTATTTCCCTGTAAATTGTTCTTTATTACAATTAGTGTATCCTTCATTTCTGACTGCATCTTTTTTATGCTGCTGAGGTCCTCATTAAGTTTCTTGGGCATCCTTATAATGAGTGTTTTGAACTCTGCATCTGATAGATTGCTTATCTCCATTTTGTTTGGCTCTTTTTTTGGAGTTTTAATCTTTCATTTGGGCCATGTTTCTTTGTCTCCTCATTTTGACAGCCTCCCTGCATTTGTTTTTATGTATTAGGTGGAGCTGCTTTGATTCCATGTCTTGATAGTGAGGCCTAATTTAGTAGGTGTCCTATAAGGTCCGGTAGCACAACTTCCCTTTTCACCCAAAGCTGGGTACTGAAGGTACCCTTTGTGGGGGCTGAGTATACCCTCCTTTTGTAGTTGAAACTTGGTTGCTGTTGGCAGATAAATGGGAGGGATTTATCAGGGCCAGTCATCTGCAAGGGTTGGCTATCACCAGCGACCACCAACCTCCATCCTTTATGGAGGATCAACTGTATAGGCGAGGGTGGCAGTGCAGCTATCCACTGGGTATGCTGGCAATGGGGTTTCCTAGGTGGTGAAGGCCAAGGTCAGCCCCCACCTGTGTTTTGCCAGGGGCCACCCTGACTAAGTTATAAAGCAATCTGAGGTAGCTACTACTTGTGTTGGGCTTGGAGACTCCCAGGTGAAACTAAGCTATGAATCTAGGCTGGCTGCTATTAGTGCCGGGCTTGAGGCTCACTGAGGCCAGTTGTTGCTTGTGTGAGACGATTTAGGAAGTTATGAAGCATGAGAAAATACCAGCTATTCATATTTAAAAAACAGCATGGGTGGGCCCATATGTTGGGTTGGGCTGTGTCTCTGGGGATCTGAAAGTCAGCTCAAACAGTGTTAGCCAGGTTGATGGAGTCTCAGATATAGCACCAGCTTGCTGACTTTGTGGGGGAAAGGTTTAGAAAAAGGACAATGGCTTTTTCTTGACTTCATGCCAGACACTTCCATTTCTACCAGTATGCCACTGGTGCTTTTCAAGCTGCCACACTGGTGTTGGAACTCAGAGGGAGTGAGTCTGAGTAGGTGAGTCTGTGTGTGGATTCTTTAAGAGGAACTGCTTGGAGATCCACAAGTTTCTTCCACCAACTCAATCCATGCTGGTTTATGCAGCCAGAAGTTGTGGGGATTTATCTTTCTGGCGCTGGAACCCTGGGCTGGGGAGACTGCTGAAGGCTGGGACTCCTCAGTCTTGGGATATCCCTCCTGGATTGGTAGGATATCCCTACCAACACATGCAGGTATGGGGCCAGCCAGTTCTGTGTCTGCGCCCCTCCTAATAGTCCAGATGGAGGTGGTTTCTTTAATTCCATAGTCATCAGACTTTTCATTCAATTCAGCTTCTGACAGTTCTGAGTAATGGTTTTTCTATATTTTAGTTGTAATTTGGATGTGATTGTGCAAAGAGATGAGCCGTGTCTGCCTTCACTGCCATCTTGACTGGAAGCTAGGTAATTTCTCACATTAGCTGGATCAGAAAAAATTCTGGTCATTTTCTTTTTCTTCCTTTCTTTAAACTAAACCAAGGGAGTAGTTAGGAGGAGATTATGGTAGCTTTTTAAAAAAGCAAATGAAATTCTTGAGAGAATAATATTTGAGGTTTGAAAAATATTCCTTACATATTACCAGCATTCTCTCATGAAAAATCAGTGCTTTGGTGCATTTCACACTACATGTAATAGTTTTATGGCTTTTTTAAAATTTCAGAGTAATGGTGGCAATAATGGGATATAGACCTCTGAGGGTTCAGAGCAAACATAATCACAACCTTGATGCCACATACACATAATGGACCCATTTCTCAGGAATGTAAACTTAATTCCTTCTTTTCATACATCTATCAAGAACCATATGGCATCACAAGCTCCAGAAAAGATGAGGAAGTCAGAGCATAAAGGCTGGCCAGTGTCAGCTCAGGTTTAGACGTTCAGTTGGAATCTGGTTCAGAAATGCAGAGAGACTCTCGTTCGTATAAAGAACAGGAAACATAGTTTTGAAGATTAAACGTAGTGACTCCGGAGCACACTGTCCGGATGTAAACTGCAGCCCTGCTATTAACCTGCCATGTGAACTTGGACAGATTACTTACTTTCTCCATGCCTGAAGCCCAACAACTTTGAAATCTACCTCACAGGGACATTTTGAAGCTTAAATGAAATAATATATGTAAAAATGCATAGAGCAGTTTCTGGTGCCACTATACAACTGCAAGCTATTAGCAGTAGTAGTAGTAGTAATGCTAGTATTATTTGTGTTATTATTATAAATATTTACTATCTCTTATGTCATACTTACAGGCAGAATGTATATCTGGGGGAAATTCCGGAGAAATCGCCATTCTCTCTGCAGATAATCCAGAGACCCAACGAACACAATGTCCTTCAGCTCCTGTTGGGTGTAGTTGCTAGCTCTCAAGGGCATCACAAAATTCCGAAGCCCCATCAGGGTGGAGTGGGCATCTCCAAAGATACATGCTACAATGTGGTTCCGAAACTCATGTTTCGACTTGTCAGTCCGTCTCTAGGTGTAAGCATACCAGAATCTGGTCATTTTCAGAAACGAGGTAAGAGTTCCTCAGAGAGGGCTCCTTCTCCTCCCCCAGCTCTTCCAGGCCCACCCACAGGGGCACTTCCACAAGGACATCAGAGCTCTGCAAACTGCTCATAAAAATGGACTTATTCAGAGTAGGGCAATTATACTTTTGATCTTTTTGTGGAGTTCCTTCTTATTTTATTTTTTAAGTTTTCTCTTAGCCTGGAGTGTATCAATTAAAACTTAAATCAGCATCATTCCTCAGTTCAGTGTGAAATCAATGAACCAAATGGGGAGAATACCTCTCAGTTCCATTATATGTGTTTAGCCTTGTATGTGCTACAGTGAGATTCAATGACAAACATTCCAATTCCATTGCTAACTTTGTCTTCCAGTGAGCCCTGGAAATTGCATCAAGTTGCAAACAGGTTACAGTTTTCAGCAGATTTTTGTATGTAAGAAAATACATATTAGTTTGAACCACATAAAATTACATTTTATGGGTCCAAAATGGTTGACTATTGGCAAGTTCACATGGTCCAAACTAACATTTATGTTTAATAACTATTTTTCTTAGTTTAGAATGGTACATAATTGCTAACATGGTGAGTTGAGCTACCCTAATAGTCTTTTAGTTGATGTGAGAGCTCTGACGGTTTTGTGCTTCTCATCAAATGATCAACATGCTTTTACAAAAACTGAGCTGTTTCCATAGACACTCTAGAGTTGAAAAAAATCACTCTTCATGGAAAGTGCAGGAAAGAAGTTGAAAATTTCATTTGATCCCAAATATTTGAATATGTCTCATACTATTACCAGCATTGTATGGTAACATCCAATGGTAACATCTCCCTTATAGCTCTAATTTGAAAGAAAATAATACACATGATAAAGATTTAGATTAGGTTTTCCCCACATTCATAGAGACTCTTCAAAATGATAAGGGTAACTTTTTAAATAAGTAATAGTGTTCCCGAAGGAAACTTATTTCAAATCTTTGTGTGATTTCTTTAAAGAAATGAGTCATGGTTTCCTCTATGGAGCCAGGTTGGAGCTGAGCAAGTCCTGAACCTGGCTTTGCTATTAGTTGTATGACTATGAACAAGATAGTTAATCTCCCTGATTTTAAGTTTAAATGGGTTAAACATACATAGAAGTTAATTCTGTTGTGAAAACTAAATAATACATGGAAAATACAGTGTTCAACTCATTAACTGTTAATCAAATTGGATTCTTACAGAATTCCTAGATTTTCAGAGGAGAACTCTTGGAAGATGGTAGGCAACAAAATAAAGTATTTAAAAGCATGCCACGAATTTTGTGTGTTTTACATTCCTGAGCACACGAAGACTCAGAATGTTTCAAAGAGATGTACCCTCCTCACTCATGCCAGTCATTAGCTGGGTGAAACAACAGGCTTCTGTGAAAATGGGCTGATGAAATCTAACAGGATAAACAGCCACATCTGACATCTCAACAATGCCAGTCTGTCAAATTAGCATATAGGAAGAAATGTTCTCCAAAGGAAATTTGTACATTTATTTCCCCCTGTGAGGGGAAATAAAGCTACTTACTTGTTTGGAAAGCCTTTCTAGAGAGTGATATGAATCTTAACCACATCTACTAAATAATCATCTCTAGCTAATACAATTATTTTAACTTGAATAACGAAGCCTCTAACAGTATTTAATACAGTGTGCCTCAAGTCCAATGATTGTGCTTCCGAGGAAAACAATTAGAAGCAAGTTACATGGCAGAGTGCATCAATGGGCACAACCAGAGAGGCAATTTTTCCAAGAAACTGTGGCACAAAGCTGTCTCCCAACTGAGAAAGATGGTGGCTTTGAAGGGAAGGGAAGGTTGCACTATTTGTTCAAAGTAACGTCAAGCGACTACTTCCACTTGACCCTTCTGTAAACAAAACCTATTTCAAATGCAATCTGGACATTTCTCCTCCAGGGTCACAAGTTCCAAAACTCTTACAATTTCTTAAACTAGAAGCCTTTCTACACTTATCAAAAGACTCAGCTGGTGTTCTGACCTACATTCCACATCAAGTGCCACAGGAAGATAGCTGCCATAGAAACCTGTCTATGTGCTTAATAAATACGGCCTCATAAAACAGCGTCTATTTCCATCTCTTGGTCTCTTGGATGCCTCCATCTGCAGCCAACTTCCCAACATTTCTAAAGATTTCTGTCCCACTGAAACCATGTTTGACTGCCTGCTCAGTGGAGGTTTATTTTGCTGAGTTTAGAATAAGATACAATGGCTAAATTGGTGAGTTTTAGCAACCCTAATAGTCTAGTTGATGTGACAACTCTGACAATTTTGTGCTTCTCATCAAATGATTGATGATGCTTTTACAAAAATTGAAATGTATTTGATCAGGACACAGGCACATGGATTTTGTATGTGTGTGTAACAGAAAAGTGAACTAAACTAGTTTTGGAAAGCAAGAGCAAATACATAATTGTTAATTAGTCATAGATGAAAAAATTATATAGGGTTCATACAATATGCAAGCAGTCACTTTTATTGGTTAAATTTACTAACTACTGCTTGCGAGGCAAACCACTGAGATCGTATCTGAGTTCCTCACTCTGGAAAATGAGAATTGATGGGGATCCGGGAAACAGGCTTCAGAGCCTGGATTAATATACAAGGCTTTTAACATCTTAGTCGCTGGCATTTCATTGAGCTGAGTTTATTATCTTGAGAGGGTGGAGATAGGGTCAGGATTCTAATATCTACAAGGATTCATCCAATTGTAGGGGGCAAGCATCTAGGAGATATATTCTTGACTAATGAGTGAAGTATAAATATAGTCAGCTTTAAGAAAAACTGCAATAGAAAATTCAAACTTGAAAACCAATAGATTAAGATAATGTGTATTATGAATACTTTTTAAAATAGGAAAGACTACAGAGTTCTTGTAAATGGTAGGTTTCCCTGGTGTGTTTAAATTAGATTTATTACTAGCAAAGCAGTGAAGTTTCAGGGGAACATTATTCTGAATAACGGACTCAGCCAAACTGTTAAAGGAGGGAAGAAGTAGTTGAAGCATCTGGTGTAATTGTTTTAAATCCCAGTATTTTATCCACATAGTCTTTGTCCAATGCCACATCTGCTACCCTGTAAACCATTCATCTGGCTGGTTAGATGTGTGTTTTTCCTTCAAAATTCATAGTTTACAAAGAGAAATGACAGGTACTTATGACTAAGAGAAGCTTAATTTTGATTGAGATCTGGTGCATGATCACTTACCAGAATCACCTTTTCCAAATGGGTTGCTTTGCACCAGTGAAACATGCCGCTGCTATCAAGACAGTCAGAATCTTCGTAGAGAAAAGTCCTAAACAGGAAGAATGGAGAGTTAGCTTGAGCATGTTTGGGGCTCCGGTGTAACAAAGACGGGATGTGAAATGCATTAAAGCCTGGAGCGCAAAGTGAAGAATAACTCAAGGAGAGTGACCTCAGGTCTGAGACTGCAGATCAAAGATTTGTGTCTGAAGAACAGCAGGAGCTGGATGTCCGGACTATATCATAGCTGAAGATACACTAAATCTGGGCAAAAGGCACAAGGATTGTGTGTGTGTGCACAGGCCTGTGTGTGTGCTTAACATCTGTGCTTTGATTATATGCACTTTGAAGGTAGTTATTTCTCCTCCTGATTTTGCTACCATCATGATGATATTATTGTTTGGGGGAAATCATGAGAGTTATTTTGCGCACCTGAATATGAAATTTTAAGGGCTGTGAGGTAAGTCCTGGGTAGCATCTCTCTTTGGACTGTTTTCCTCCCTTCTCCTTTCCATGTCTTTCCTATGGGTCTCCTGAAGCATCCTTACTGATTAAATGCATTTTGCATTATTTAAAGCTTCCATAACTGACCTGCATTTGACTAAACCCTGCTTTCATCTTGATTTAAATCTTGGCAAAACCCTCCACGTGATCACACTGAGTTGCAGCTAGGCACGGTTGGTTATCATGTAATGTATTCAATCACCAAAAAGGGCTCAGACAATCTTGTGAAAAAACTCACACATATCCTAAGGCATGCACATGTGCTTGTTAGCGAATAAAGGCAACTCTTAAAATCACAGAAAGTTTAGGGTTCAAAAGGGCCTATTCTCCTCCTCAGTCATTAAGGAGAAGGAAGGGAAAAAAACTGGAGAATTGAGCCTGGGCTTTAAGTACCTTGGGCCAAAGTGGCAAGTGTATTGCTGGCCAGAACTAGTTACATGGCTCCCTCTAACTCTAAGGGGGTTAAGGGGTGTGGGAAAGAATTAAAATATTTGTGAGCACTTCTGTCCCTGCCAGAGACTTTAAAGAATACAACTTATTTTATGGGTAAGAGTCAAAGAGCCAAGCAATTGTAAAGCTGGCATTGAATATAATGCCGAGGCTGAGTTTACTGAGGCTCACCATATCCAGTTCTTTCCTTCCTTAATGTATGTGCAGTTGGGTGGGGCCACATGACTTGATTTGGCCAATGAAACGTGAGAAGTGTTGACTGACATTGTGAATGCCCCCATGCCCTTGTTTAGGCTCACTCTTCACCTGCTGTAGAGATGACTATGTGGAGGAGAATGCCCTGGCCTCCTTGACCTTGACTGCTGTTGGACATGTACCACAAACAGGAAACACACATCTGTTGTGCTAAGCTCCTGAGATCCCATGATCGCTACCACAAATCCATCTTATCTTAACCCAGATTCCTTCTCTAAAAAACGAGTTCCGTGGAACACCAGTAACTGGAGAAGCTCTAAGGAATTGTTTTCTGTAGTCCAATAAATTTTGGGAAAATTTTGCAAGGTTCCAAAAAGCCTTGCAAAAATAAAATTGTATAAAATTGGTATAATCCAGTGTTTTACACGCTTATTTCACCACAAAGCTTTCACGTTTACTTATGTACTTACTTATTTTTTCTTTATTTCTTCTTTTATGTACTTAGTTATTTACTCATATTAAATAATCTATTACTATCCCTTGAAACCCATTTTGGGACACACTAAACTATCTCACAATATAGGTTCAGCCCTGGTAATCAATAGCTTATGACAGCATTCTCCTGTGAGATTTCACTATCCATTGTTCACTGTGAACAATACCACCTATAGCTTTCTGTGCTGAAGGGTTAGGGGCTTTTCCTGTGAATTAAGATAGATTGTTATTCACCACCTGGCCCAAATTCTCAGACCCCAAGCTAATGATACATATTTTTTTCTCTTTTAACCAGGTTTGTTTCTAAATTGCTATCTCAAGTCATATGTTTTGAAACAGAAGAACTTACTTAAACTGAGATTGAAATGTCAGACCTACAGTAAGGAGGTAAAGACCAGACAGAGAAGCAGGGGTGGGAGGATGGGGCACGGGAAAGGGTGTAGAACAGCCGGGAGGCTAATTGCTGATGAGATCAGCCATGACCGACATACACTCCTTATTTTCCTCTCATTTTAAGACCTACTGATAAACTCAGTGGGTTCTAATCATCTCCTTAGCCAAAAGATATTCTAATGTAAGCCTCAAGGTCAGTTTGGCCACAATGGGTTAGCTTGTTTACTTAAATTAACATGTCTTTTGGTGGTTTAAATATCCCTGAGTCATGAGCCCCAGCTTAGAATCCTAAGAGCCACACAGGCTCTCTGAATGGTTCTGGACAGGATCATGGTGATGGCTTTAGGCCAAGCTTGTTGAAGGCAATACCCCTGGGGCAAGTCTGATTTCGATTCATATCAGAATTTGAAGAACTGATTATGTTACCCATTCATAGAACCTTCTTTTCTCTCGAGTATAGTTTCCTAGAGACTTTCAAATGTTGTTAAAATGTCCTAAGTGACCTTTAAGGAGGTGGCTTTCTGCGCACTGTCCTCAGCACTCAAGTCTACAGCAACTGCTGCAACCTTTCTCCTGGTCACTTTTTTTAGATTTTCCCCACTTCTCAATCCTCCACGGCCCCACCCTATCCATAATGAGTGAAGAGTCTTTAATCTGAAAATTAAATGCCCTTTTGGCAAATGGAAGATAATCTTCTCCCAAGCACATTTTAACTTGACTTGGAATAGCACATCATTCACTATACACTTCTTTTCTATCATAATAAAAGTATGATCTATGTACACAAGCTGTCACAGACAGCTTTCTTCATTCTTCATTCATTTCTTTTTTCATTCTGATGTTATGGAAAACAGATATGCCTTAGAGGAAACACCTGTTGGAGACCTTTGTAAGAGAAAAGACTGGAGGAGACCCACTTCATCATAAAGGCATCCATCTGGTGTCCTTGCCAAAGCAAAACCTGATGCAATTTAGTTCACCATCCCTTAACTAAAGTTTCCTTCTGCCATATGTCTTGCAAATGACATGATCCTTGCAGAAATATACCTTCCTAAAGAGACTAATAAATCATCTATGAGAATGTGCAGCATTAGCAGCCTTAGAACTTGGAAACAGGGATTATAACGGAAAGGCTGATGCTATCTGAGGAAAAGGCACACACAGAGCACCATCTGGGTCATTCACGATGGAAGGAAAAGGTTATAGCTTGACCACAGGTGGAAGCATCTTGGTGAGGGCACTCTCCATGTGGATAGGTTGGAAAGAAACATGGTGGGGATAATCTCAGGGGACCCTCTGCAAGACACGTTTGGGAAGAAGGTGATTTGGTTTACTCATCACAAGATAGGCTTGTTATTAAGGAAGCAATGTGCGGTGTTTTCACCTGGGATCATCCAAGAGGCATTGAACCTTGAAATACCCACAGAGTCATGTCCCTGACATCCATCTTTGAGAGGCAATAGGTCATGTGTGCTGGGTGAGACAGCTTTTACAGCCAGCATGTTTTGTGGATGTGCAGAGCAGCATGTGAATGAAGCCCCCCACTGTCTTTGCTGACGGCCACCTTGTTTCAGGCTGCTTTCCTATGCACGAAGCCAAGGTCCTGTGAGCACATGCTCGAACATGTCCCCACCGAGGAAGGCAGGCTCTTTCCTCTATGCTTTGTGGAGCTATTCTCAAGAGAACTTGTTCCACCATCTCCATAGCCACTGATCCTATATAAAATTCTACCACTTAAAGGCAAATATAAATGAAGGACAATGTGCCTTTGGTTTGTAACGGTGGCACCTGATGATAGAGAGGATAAACCATGCAGAAAAGCCTCCATTAGGAAGGTGAGGTAGGTTTCAGTGCTGGGTCATTATTTCTTCCAATTAGCAGACTTAGATTATTCTTGAAAATGATCTCCCAATGAATGAGATCCTCCACTGTTCACAATACCTATTAGAAAGTTCAAAAGGCACTGATAGTTTTTATTTTTCTTTTACAGGCCTCAATTTTGGATGTGTTAGCAAATCCTGGCTTGTGACCATTCCATCTGAAACCTCCTTAAAACTTGATAGGCAGCTTATAAATTCTTAGGAGTTAGTTTTCTGGCCTGGATGCAGAACAATATATTTTTGCTCAAGACCTGAGTTGAATAAAAATAACAAGTTTCATAAAGTCTTAACGCAGGGAGGATGACAAGTCCTCAGGCTGAGGGTTGTGGAAAAAGGAGGAATGTGTCCGTGTGTGCAGGAGTTTCAGTGTCCTTCTTGGTTCAATCTTTGGAAAAATTTATTGTAACAGTCTCCTGAAGGCAGTGCTATAGTTCCCACCAAAAATGGAAGAAAAATCCTTAGTCTGAGGATCCCTTTGGGGCTACTTGGGATTTTTTATCTTGCGGGCTACAACTGCCTTCTCTCCGATGACTCTGTATATAGTGACAAGTCTATTTAGTCCATATTTAACCAGAAAGTACTCACTTAGGTCAGTTCTGACCACCGCCTTTTGTGAATTGAGAAAGGAAATCACTAGAGCAAGTTTTATAATTAGTGCTTCCCACGTTCTCCTGACCATTTTCTCTCTCCCTCCTACTCCCTCTTTCTGGATCTTATACACATACACCTTCATCTCTATACACCTACACAAATGCTACAGTGAAATTTCAGAATATGCACCTTTATAGCCACATTTCGACTTTATTTTTTTTGGTTTCACCTCGTTGGCATTTACTCATTGTAAGGCATTATTATTACCCTGGGGGGTAAACTTAGGATTTAAAAACAGGGATAATTTTTTGCCGTCTATTCGCCTAGGAACCTACATACGAACAAGTGAAAAATGGCTCCTGGGAGTGCTGAGAACCTTTCAGGACCAAGCAACTCTAGAGAATCTCAGGAGGCAGAGAGCACTACCCACCTGCCCTGCTAGCAAGGTCCCTGTGACCCCTTCCCTGCCCATTAGAAAGCGAAAGCGTGCACCAGGCGCTGTGCCTTCCCTCCAGCCTGACAAGCTGTCCTTGCTGAGGCTCCT